AATAGGAAAGTTTTTTAAATTGTTATATTTTACAATATTACTGTTTTTACTATCTATATATGAAATAAATGCAGCCTTTTTGAGTATACGAGACGTTCTCCAAAAATATTTGTAAAAACTTTTCAAAACTTTTGAAAGGTAATGTAAATTGTTAAAGATATTGTAACTGTGCTGTTTTTGGTTGCCTTTTGCATTACCTAATGAATTAATTAGAAGGGAGGAAGGACAAGCATCTTTACAGTGCCTACTTTGAACTGAAGTGCAACTGAACTGTCAGTTCAGTGTATTCCTGTGCAGTGACTGACCTGCACTAAACTGTTATGAAGGAAGTGCACCTAAAGACTATTGTGTAGAAGCTTATGGCAGGCTGAATTTCTCCAACTGTCACTTAAAATACATCCTCTATGGATCCTTCTTTATAACAGTATCACTGTTTGCTTCCCTCTTAAGAGCGCTCTTAAGGACTCAACGGTGTTGACAGCTGAGCCGCTGATGTTCAGGGTTGTGGGTGTTTGTGTGTCCTTCTTTAAGTCCACAATCTCCACTGCAGGCTTCAGAGCAGTCAGCTTCAGTTTATTGTGTCACCACCAAGACACCAGCTGCTCAACATCCTGTCCACAGGCAGATCTGTTGCTGCTGCTTATGAGGCCACACTCTTCAAAATAAATTACAATTAGAGCCCAGCCTGATGCCACTGGAGAAACTTAAGTTACACAAATAACGTTTAGTTCTTTAGAATTAACTTCATCGGTCAAAAGTTTGGGTTAATTTTCAGTGGCGCAATTTTCGGGAGGACACTTTTTGAAAATTTCCCCCTTCAGCTTACTGCTTAATTGTTGACTCGTCCTGAAAGATTATCATTCGCACGTTTTAAAGTCTTGCCAGTTTAGCATTCAAACAATTTTAAAACATTAAAGCATGAGAAGACACAAAAGGAAACCCAAAGAGTGCACACAGACAGCACTGGTTCAGACTGCGTGCCATTACCATGAGGTCTTAAAGTGTCAGCAGCTTAATATACCTGTTTGTGTCATTCATGTTTTTCAAAGAACAACAAATAGAAAAGAAAAAAAAAAACTCTGCTCAAATCTGATTTCAACTGAATAACTTCTTGAGCTTCAATAAATTTTAACTTGATAGTATTTCATACCTGAATACTACTAGACCTACTTAAGAACTTAAAGCACTTTTTCTATTGTATTTATTTGTGCTATTGCTTGTAATTTGTTCATTTGTTCTTATTTTATTACTGACTATTTACTTGTCTTTTTTTTATTTAAATTTTTTATTAAAATATAAGGTTACATAGGCCAAAAAAAACAATGAAAACAATAACTTTTTTTATTGTCATGTGACACTGACGACTGGAGTCATAGCTGCTGAAAATTCAGCTTTGCCAATACAAGAATAAATTAAATTTTAAAAGAGATTAAACTAGAAAACTGTTATTTTAAATTGTAATAATAATTTACAATATTACTGTTTTTGCTGTATTTCTATTCAAATAAATGCAGCTTTGAAAGAATGAAAATGGGCTCCATGTTGCAACACTTTTTCAGTGCATTTAACACTTGGTTAAACTGGATTGTGGGTGATTAGTGTATATAATGCCAAAGTGTGCAATAAAAAACACTGACAGCCAATCAGAATCCACCCAACTTTGAAGAACGTGAGCATTTTAAGCAGCACACAACATAACTGCAGCTCATTCTTTTTAATAAACAGAATGTTTTTGTGCATTGGTGTAGATGCCAATACACAGCAGTTATCATTAAATTATTGTTCTTGGTGTGAACGGGACTTTAGTGAGAGGTAGTTGCAGCAGGACAAACTTGGTCAGTGTTTCACTCAATTGTTTTCATAACCATGAAAGTCTGAAACATTTGTGACAAATGTCATGTGTGTTTGGTTGGAAAGCCTGATGACACTGTGGTCCAATCTATGATGCTCTGCTATGCTAGGGAACCAAAGAGCCAATTCAGTTATCACAATCAAGCAAAGCAGGAAGAGAAAACAGCAGCAGAAAACGTTCAAATGAGGGAGGAATGGAGAGAGAGAGCTAGATGAAGGGAAGAGGAGTTTGTGTCTGCAGATCTGAAGTTCAATGAGTAATCAAGAGGAAAGAGTGAACATGGAAATGAAATTTCATGCAGATAAGAGCAACAAGAAGACGATTTCAGCACTCCTTTAAAAATCACATGCTTCAATTTAAAGTCCAACACAAGCCAAACTACCAAACTAGATACAAATTATACCTGCACATAAACAGCTGTTTTTTTATTTTTATTTTAATTTGTAAATTCAGTCTGTTTTTGGAGGTTTTCTGTAGGGAGACTTGTAGTCTTTTAGGAAGTCTCTCCTAACTGTTCATTGACATGGAGACAAGGAGCTAATCCCAGATTTGTTAGCAATGCAAATCCAGCATGTTCAAGCACAAAGAGGGATCTGAAAGCTGACAGGAAGGGAAAAAAATATCTACAAATCTAGAAAAGTAAGAAACAGTTGGAATTGTGATTCAAAATGCATTCAGGACTTTGTAAGACCTAAAACACTTATATTTTGTTATATTCCTCACACAAAGCTATAAAAAAAGAAAATAAAAGAGTTTGGAACAAAGGGTGAATAAATGATTTTTGGGTAACTTTCCTTCAAACAACATAAATTTGAGCAGTGTAAATAGCAGGATTTTCTTAGTGTTATGCTGTTTACACTAAGTGCAAATAGCTATAGATTCTATTTACACTATGTTAAAATAGCAGGATTTTCTGCTATTTATACTACTTATTGCAAATAGTGGCAATTTTCTGCACCTCACTATTGTAGTACATTATAAAACAGTATGCAATAATAACATATTGACTGCAAATTCAAATTATTAAATGGATGCCACCTTATTGGGACAATAAAGCCCTCCCTACACCTACTCTAACCCTACCCGATACTAAAATTTTCAACTTTTCGATTATTTCCTTCATTCTTATTGAAAATAAATCCCTTTTTGATGTGATATGAGATTTTAAAAGGGGAAAAAAAAAGTTTGGCAAAAGGCGGATTTGAACTCGGATCGAATTGTAGGGCGGAGTTAGTGTAAATAGCCTCTGCCAACAAGGCGGGTTATTTGCATTTAGTTTAAATAGGTATTCTGATAAATTTACCTGAGAAGCACAGCTGTGTAAGATTTTCAGATTTGTTTTCAGAAAACACATGCTGAATTTAGTTTATTTTTCTAGTTTTAAGTCTAAATCCCTCTACATTGTTAGATTTATGCTTAACCTCCTGGGGTCGACGGTGGCGCCGGCGCCACCACGTGCATGTTTTACTGATAAGAGCAAAAAGAACTTAAAATGCTCGTTCATTTTTGTTTGTACACATAAGAGTAATACACCATTCGAATCTGTAAAGGGTCTACTTTTATTTGTGTACACTCACAATATCAACAAAACATTGTGCTTTTGCAAAATAAAGAAAATAAACAGGGTGTGCTTTTAGCAATTATAATTTTAATTTTAATTATTAAATGGATGCCACCTTATTGGGACAATAAAGCCCTCCCTACACCTACTCTAACCCTACCCGATACTAAAATTTTCAACTTTTCGATTATTTCCTTCATTCTTATTGAAAATAAATCCCTTTTTGATGTGATATGAGATTTTAAAAGGGGAAAAAAAAAGTTTGGCAAAAGGCGGATTTGAACTCGGATCGAATTGTAGGGCGGAGTTAGTGTAAATAGCCTCTGCCAACAAGGCGGGTTATTTGCATTTAGTTTAAATAGGTATTCTGATAAATTTACCTGAGAAGCACAGCTGTGTAAGATTTTCAGATTTGTTTTCAGAAAACACATGCTGAATTTAGTTTATTTTTCTAGTTTTAAGTCTAAATCCCTCTACATTGTTAGATTTATGCTTAACCTCCTGGGGTCAAAGCAAAGCAGCCCACTTGGTCATGGAAATGGAGATTCCTGCCTGCACAAGAACCTGGACCACAGCTAAGACCATGTGATGCACACACCAACTTGCGCTCTCCTCACAACCCCTGTGCTAGCCGTGGGTGGGTGTATTTTCATTGGACACACATGAGTATTTATCTCTCTCCTCTAGATCTCATTTCTTTGATAGAGTAACGCATTTCACGTACGAGTGGCCTTTGAAATGACGACCGTGTCATAGGTGCCATGACAACCGTTTGACTGACAGCCGGCGAGGTGAGCTATCCTCAGATGCTGCTGTGATGCTGACAGTAAAGCTTGATGAGCAGATGTGTCGACCCTGCTACTAACAATCCAAGAATGTGGAGCGTGGCGTCAACAACTGCAGGAAGTGCCGGTTTCATTTAGAGAATCAATGAATGTCATAAAGCACATCATTGCCGCGGGGGCCAACTGATGCAATCGGTCTAAAGACACTGTAGACAGTGATTGATTCTCAATGCAAGCATGTGTGTGTGTGTGTTCTAAAGTGTACAGACGAGGTTTGCCTGACTTTTGACAGATTATAATGTTAGGAATACATTTACATAATGAATTTAAACAGGTTGGTGTCAATAGATATTGATGTTTTACATGATTAATTCAACTTAAAATGAAAATTGTGTCATCTTTTAGTCACCATCATGTTGTTCAATACATGACTGATTTTCTTCTGTGGAAAACAAAAACAGACATTTTCAACAATGACTTTCAGAGAATAACAACTTAAATTTTGGTCTTTTCCTCACATGAGTGAGCCTTTTTCTTATTTTGGAGCTAGCTTGGCAGCTCCAGTTCTCATTCACTCTAAATCTATTGAAAAGAGCCGGCAAAATTTTCATAAAAAAGACAAATATATTATCGAAGGAAGTCATACAGGTTTGAAAAAACAAATGATAGAGGTCAGTAAATAATGACATAAGTGGCCTTTTTTAGACAAAACCATTTACATAATAAATTAGAGCAGGTTTATGTCAATATCCATTGATATTTTTACAGAACAAGTCTCATAGATGTCAAAATGGCCACTTACACTCGATGGTTAGGAATGATCTTGAAGCCGTCTCTGAACCATGTGACCTGAGGGCGAGGGTAACTGGTCACGGCGGGAGGATTCAGGACAGCAGCTCTTCCCTGAGAGACTGTTTTCCTCTGTTCCAGTTCAGCAAAGTTATCCATGTCTAAGCGAGAGAAAGAAACGGATAAAGAGAGAAAGAGATGGAGAGGTGCAATTTACTGTAGTAAAAATGGCTACTACTTAGGGTTGTGCCGATAGACAATAGTATGGTGTAGCGACGATAATGAGAGATATCGCCTGTGGCTGATGACTTTGACAATATCAAAATGATTATTATTATTATTAGGCTAGTATTATTATCTAATTAATATTAGGGCTTAAGTTATTTATCCCATCATATTTCTTTTTACGGGTTTTTACAGTGTTGCACGTTATAACCAATCACACACGATTCTGTTGAGCTTATGAATGCAATGGCCAATCAGAAGTGTTCAGATGAGTCATCGCTGAAATACCGGAGTTTTGCAGTTCAGTGCTCGCTCGCTGACTGAATTCTGCTCTCTCGCGAATTCTCTAATCATAAACAACAAAGTGCAGATGTACGGGCGATGTAAGTTTAAGAGATAGCTTCACTGATTATAATGGGAGTGTTTTTTTAAGTGCATAAACTCGCGCTAGACTGAAGTCAGTGATGATATTCTTTGATGATGTAAATGTTCTTTGCTCGTTTTTTGTAGCTGCTGTTTGAATAACCGAGGAAATGTAAGCATTATAAATAGTAACTTAGAATGTTTTTATTAGATTGCGATCATGTTAAATACAAATTCAGTCTTATTCAAAATTTGGCATGACATGCATATGCTACTTGACTAAAAAGATATGTGTAGTTAAAGGGTTAGTTCACCCAAAAATGAAAATTCTGTCATTAATTACTCACTCTCATGTCGTTCCAAACCCGTAAGACCTTCGTTCATCTTCGGAACACAAATTAAGATATTTTTGATGAAATCTAAGAGCTTTCTGATCCTCCGTAGACAGCAAGGATACTATCACGATCAATGCACAGAAACGTAGCAAGGACATCGGTAAAATAGTCCATGTGACATCAGGGGATCAACCGTAATTTTACGAAGCTACGAGAGTACTTTTTGTGCTCAAAGAAAACAATAATAACATAATTTATTCAGCAATTCTTCTCCCCGAGTTACCGTCTTCCGCCATTGTTAGAGAGTACTCCAGAACCTAATCAGTGCTGTTTACGTTCAGCATGCGCACGCTTTCTACTGAATATAAACAACGCTGATTACGGATCAGAGAGCTCTCAGATTTCATCAAAAATATCTTAATTTGTGTTCCGAAGATGAACGAAGATCTTACGGGTTGGGAACACCATGAGGGTGAGTAATTAATGACAGAATTTTAATTTTTGGGTGAACTAACCCTTTAATAGATTACACTCACATTAGGTTGCTTTTAGCCGTACCCTGGAGTTGGTTCACTCTCTGGCTATGAAATAAAGTAAGTAAATAATTAAATAAATTTGCACGATGATATCGTGTACTGGCAATCTCACAGGCTGACAATACGATGATATGACAATGGAGCATATCGCCCAACACAACTACTACTACTACATGGCTTTTTGTGGCTTTTGCTGTAATACACTTGTATATGTGTCCCATACGCCTGCTGTATGTGTAAAGTGTACACATACAACAGTGTACACATAAAGTGTACTGGAGTGACAGCATATTTAGAAATTACTGGAGTGTTTCCTGAATGTCACTTTTAGTTCATCCCCTATGGGACTCCTGTACTACATGCATATGTGTGGGTTCTAGGTGAGTGTGGTGATGTGTGAAATCCATTTGTGCTTCAGCCTCCTGGACTCCCTTTCTAACAACATACACATGAACTTACAAGCCACGCGAACATCGGCCCTCTTCTGGATCAGCGCTCCCATCCTGTTTCTCACCGCACACTGATATACACCCGCGTCCTCGCGCTTTAATGACATAATCGTGTACCTGGAAGAGAGAAAGAGATCTGGGATTTACATGGTGCTTACTTGATGTTCTTGCTGTGCAGTACACACTATACTGCATGCTATGTCCTTTTGAGTGTGAAACAGAGCGCATTATGCAATGATAAATGTTTTAAACAGTAGTGTCCTACACTGTTGTCTCATTATAACCTCACTACACTGCATGTTTAATTCAGTGAGTCACTTCAAGTTATCAAACTTCTTTAATCCACTTTTGCATAAAAATGTCTTCACTGCTGGCAGTTTGATCCAATAATGAGCCAAGGAGGAAATAGGCTATAAAAAATTGGGGTTGTGCGGTTCATTCGTCATACTGTAATTAATAAGTCAAATCAAGTGAATTGCACTGTGGAATAATAAGTTTACCACACTATACGATTTTGCATACTGTTCACCATGTTATAGAATATACCGCAAAAATAGTATGAGTAGTATGATACTGTTATTTTGAGTGAATTCCAAGACTTGGCTCTTATATGACAGTCAAATATGTGTTATCAGTACCTGCAACATGATTTCTTCAACCTGTACAATAAACAAGACAAGGAGTTTGAAAGTAAGCACTAATAAGTGCTTGGATTTATGAGCAGATGGATGCGAGTGTGTGCTGTTTAATGAGAAAGATTACAAGCCCACAGGGTCAGAGCTGCTCAAATCTGTGTTGATTCGGTTTTAACAGATGACTGTGCTTAATGCAGAAGTGATGGTTCACATGGATTGAATGTGGAATCAGCTGCACTGATAAAAACTCAATGCTCTGTCATTTTTATAGACATCTCAACCATAAGGAAAAGATTCAGGGGAACACTGAAAAACATTAAATTTTAATGTTACTGTCAGGATGAAATAGAAACAGAAGAAAGATAAATCATACAGGTTTTATTATTATTAATATTATTTATATACGATTACAGTTTTATTTGATAGTTTTTGAATTAGTATTTATAGTATTAATCAGTTTTCAAATGCATTTGTTTAAATATTTTGTAGTAAGTTTGTTGTGTTTTTGTATATTTAGTTTAAGTATATTTAGTTTTCATTTATTTATTTTTATTTGTATTTACTTAGAATTCAACTTTAGTTACTTTAGTGTTTCTAATTTTTGTTGACAATTTTGAACTAATATTTACTTTTTATTTTACTTCAGCTTCTTTTTAATTAACAAAATTGGTTTAATAGTATTGATTTTAGTTAACAATAATGACAATTCAGTTTAGAACAATGTGAGGCAATTTTATAAAAGTTTTCATGGCAACATTTCAGCCAACAACTGATGGTAGCTATTGACTTCCATAATATGGCAAAATATACTATGAAAGTCAATGGCTACCATCAACTGTTTGGTTACACACGTTCTCCAAAATATCGTCTCTTGTGTCGTTGAGCATTAAAAAGATAATTCATACCTGTTTGGAACAATGTAAATGATGACCGAATTTTCATTTTTGGGTGAACTACCCTTTTAAAGCCAAATTTCATTTCTTTAAAAAAGATGAAAATAGACCTCATGGCTCATCTTGCTAACACTGTTCTTATTAAACACCATTCCTTTATTATACACAACTCAGAGGTCACTGTAATAATAATGTCTCCAAAACACGAGGGGTCAAAGATGGATGACCAGACAAGAGAAAGAGGCCAAAGAAGGGAACAGGACAAATGAGATCCCAAAGGACTCGGCACTGTCTATATTATTTTATACTGTAGCACTATTTTGTGCAGTACAATCCAGAATCCAATGACCTCGGTACATGGGTGCCAGTTAAGATAATGGTTACTTATACCAAAATAGTGCAACAAACTACTTTAAAAATCCCATGAAATAAAAATGTGAGATTTGTGAATTGGGGGTTTAATGTTTTGCTGTTTTATGTAGACTTCATGATCTGGAATAGCTCCTCAAAGATCAGATGTTACAGCCCATTTTAGTGTGATTAATGATCTTGATTAATGATCTTGCTTCAGAAGGATTTTCCCTGTTGCATGGTTTTGGATAAGAGATATAAACAGCTAAATCAATTAAATATTTAAGTCTAAATGTGCAGACACGGTATGTGTTGATTATTACCTGTACTCTGGTGTGTATTCAGTGATATCCGAGCTGTTTCTCATCCATTTGAACTGCAGCGGCCAGCTGCCCTCAGCCAGACAGGTCAGCACGAGTCTGTTCCCCTCCAGGTGTGTCTGTGCACCCCCTGCCTCGGTTTTAAAGTACGGAGCGATGTCTGTGAAGAGAACATCAATAACAGAATGAAAACCCATCCTTAATTTTGATATAACGAACAGTTAAACTTCCCCAAATGTGCAAAGATGTCTAATTATGATGCATGAATAAAAGCACACTGAGCGTAAGAATAAAGTGCTGACCATGATATTTCAAATGGTCCAGGCCCACCATACTGGCCAAATATTACTCTGATTAATGGCCGATATATCACCCAGGCTGATTCACCAGCCAATATTTGGCCATTTCGAGACTGATAACTGTGCCTGAGTACACATTTAGAGTACATCTCATTATATGAGGGAATATATATATAATAGATATATAGATAGATATATAGATAGATATATAGATAGATATAGATATATAGATATATATAGATATAGATATATATAGATATAGATATATAGATATAGATATAGATATATTGAAGGGGGTCTGAATACTTTCCGTACCCACTGTATATAGATATAGATAGATACATGCATATACATTAGATTTTCCTGTTGTTTTTGAAAGAAGTTTTCTTATTACGATTTAAAATAAATATTTTCTATTTCAATATATTTTAGAATGTCATTTATTCCTGTGATGCAAAGCTGTCTTCAGTGTCACATGATCCTTCGGAAATTATTCTAATATGCTGACATGCTGCTCAAGAAATGTTTATTTTATAACATTTATAACATTGTTTAATATTTTGCGATACTTTTTTAGGACTCTTTGATGAAAAGGAAGTTCAAACAGCTCTTTCTTTCTTTTATTTATTTAGGTGACAATGTAAAAGTCTTTACTGTCACTTGATCAATTGAATGCATTCTTGCAGATTAAAAGTATATAATTTTCCTCCAAAGAGTCAGGATGCTCAGACAAAAAGGAATAAGTTTTAATAGTAACTTTGTGCCGTGCTTACACTTTTCAAGGATCAACCAACACATGGCTTTCATCTGCACATTACACTTAAATATGAGAAAGTAAAAAATACACACTTCACCTTTAAGTCATCAACTGAAATGGCTGACGATTTCTATATTAGGCTTTCTGGTGCCCCCTCTTAACACAGTTTTACGTACTGTATGAGTCCTTGGGCTGTAGCAAAAACATTTAGGCCATAATAAAAATGAAATATACTTCTGAGAAAATCTGCAAATACACACTTGCCCCTAGACACCCAGTTAATGTGAAAGGAAAGACTGGTATTTGTCAAAAGAATAAGTCACCTTCATGTCAGTATTGCACAGTCAAATTCAGATCAATTTACATAATACACATTCACCCAATAAACTCAGAAAAAAGATCTCAAAGGGACTTTCACTCAAGTGCTTTGTGGGAAACTTGTTTCAAAGCCTTTGTGCATTGTGAATCTAATCTCTCCATCTATAGTCAGAATGGCTTCAGATGACATCACTAATACTGAAGAACTGAGTGAAGAACATCCAGCCAGTAGAAAACAGTAGGGAAGGCATGTGACCTGAGATGAGACTGATAAAATGAGCTCTCCCGACACTCTCTAAATGTGTGGAAGCTGGTATGCAATTCACACTATATGAAACAGCAAGTTAAAAAAAGCTAAAAACATTCCATTCGGTCTTTGGTCATACTAAACTGAATGTACATTCACAAGACATACTGTCAGCTCTGTTGCATAAAACAGCGATCGATTTGGAATGTTTTTCAAGAAGCAGCAAAAGAGCAGGACTGACGTGAAGCGCACACAAAAGACAACTTACAATTGATTCCAACAGAATTTGATGATAGCATTTCAAGTTAACAACATGGTACTCTTTGACTCCAGCATGTGGCTAAGCTAACAATGTGATACTTGAGTAAAACAGTCAGTAGCCTAGTTCAATTTCATATGAACTATTTTTGTTAATTATTTTTTAGAAATTCTGGCAAATATCAGTAACACAATATTTTCATTTACGAATTTCATGTGACAGTCAATAACCAATACATAGCTGATATTATAAATCCATACTGCTTTGTTAAGTAAAATATCTTTTTACTCCACTATATTTATTCACAGCTTGATTGATTGAGTTCTGTAATTGCATTGTATGTTATGTATGTACGCATGATGCTGCCTTAGGATTTAGGCAAAACAAGGTATCTTAGAAGGCAGCAAGATATTGCTGCGTAGCTTTGGCACAGTCTTCTTGTCTGATGTGTTGCCCAGGTCAACATTCAAATGAAACATTCTTACTGTCTCTGCTGGATAAAATGACTTCAGTCTGTTATTGTGAAGTTAAAGGCCAATGGCTCAGTGGCTCCCATCACACTTGTTAGTAAATTACTCGCCATTTAGCAAATGCTTTCATCCAAAAAAAGACTAATTGCAGAAACAGCCCTCCTGGAGCCACTAAGTACTTTGCTTAAATGCACAAAGGTGAGAGAATAGAAATGTGAAGTATTAACTCTTAACAAGATCTTAGCATTTTCTAAAGAAAACATGAGTGATTTTTGCCTATGGTGCGGAGCGAGTTTTTAAACACGAGTTTCACAATTTGAGTTGAATTACTGAAATAAATGAACTTTTCCACGACATTCTAATTTATTGAGATGCACCTGTATATATATAATTAAATTTAACAAATAAATTCAGGAAACGTAACAATTAATTAAAAAAGTAAAATTCTTGAAAAAAACACCTTAAGTAGTTTGGCATAATCCTTTACATTTAAATAATTCAGTAATTTTTATAAATAATTTTCAAATAATTTGAACAAAACTGTTTATTAGTTGTTTTTTAAAACTGAAACTAAAAACATTTTATTACTTGAAATTTCTCAGTAGTTTAAGTGCTTAAATAACTAAAACTAAATAAACTAAAACTTAATAAATACTATATAGACATTTAAAAAAACAAAAACAAATGACTAAAATCTTACATTTAAAATGAAAACAGAAAATATACAAATAAATTCAAATTAAAAATACTGAAAAAAAATACAATATCATATTAATGATACTAAAATAACTGTTGCAAAAATAGGGGAAGAAACAGGAAATGCGATGTCAATAAGTACCAGATAATTAGACCTATTTATGATACAAAGTTAATTTAGGATGCATTCAGATTCATTTTTAATCTGTCATCTTGACAGAAGTTAGATTTTTTATAGATTTAAACACTCTTATTTGTCAAAGACAGATGAGCAAGAATAACATTAATAGCTATAAAGCACCACTAAATGATAACCAATAACTCTCTAGTTACTATCATTGTTTGGGACTGAAAATTGGCGCTAACGCCTTTAATCCTTAACCGATGAACGATTACTGTGTTCATCTCACAGGAAAGGAGCTTGATGTTGAACTTAATGAGGCAAATCTGTATTTCTTCTAGTGCCAAATACACCATGCGAGGATCATAGCACCCCGCGATCTGACCTTTTTTGTGATTCCAGTATAATGAGACGGCGTGACAGCCGCATGTACTCACAGCACAGTCGTACAGTTTTGGGGAGTTACGTGGCCCCCCACCCATAATGCACCAGTCTTTTCCTCTGGCCTCAGGATACAGTTACCCACAGAGAAGATCTGAGCGCACAGACAGGTAGAAGCAAGCATGGGTAATCAGGTGGAAGAAATGGGGTGATCAGTGACATTTACACATCACTCACACACAAACAATTCGGTGAACTCTGGCACAAGCTGTCCACACACACTTCTACGCGCATACACACATCACACAGACTCACGCAGCGGAAGAGACAGGGTGATCAGTGACATTTCCATAAAGTGGAGGCAGAAGATTCTTAAGGGAACGGGAAACAACATATGCACACACACACACACATCCCTTTAAAAGTGCCTTGCGACCAGGAAATCTCTCTGTGAAGTACTATACCTCGCTCAAAGAACTTAAAGCAGGAAGAGTACGATCTGTGCAATGGAAAGGACAAACATTATTGATAGAATAATCAGTCTGTGTTACCTGAACTGTGAAAACTCCAGGGCTTATATAAGACATGAGAAACTTTCTTTGCCAAATAAAGACACAATGTCTGACATTCAAACAAATGCTTATTCTAGTGATGCACCGAAATGAAAAATTTTGACCAAAGACTAAAATTCATGAGTTTGAAAAATGCAGTTTAATTTAGTTTTTTAGTTTTATTGCATTTTTAAATTACATGTATTAAAAATAATAAATTACTAATAATAAATTACTTTAAACAAAAGCTGCATTTTCGGAATCCAAAATATTATGAATTAATAATTTATATTATTAATTAATTAATTAATATTTTAATAAATTACTTTAAACAAAAAAATAAATGAAACCCCGTTTCAAACTCCAGAGTTTTTAATGAAACATTATTTTTAAATGTATGAAATGATTAGCCTATTAATTTCTTTCTCTAATATTTTATACATTATTTTTAATAAAAGTATTTATAATATTTTAAGTGAGTATTTTTTTCTTCATATGGTATAACTTAGAAACATTTTTACATTTTAATCTTTATAATATATATACCAATAATATATTACCAACTGTCTACAATAATACTGTTTGGTCCATATTTTAGCATGAAGCTGAGATATAGCTTCAGCATATCAGATCTGATCAGTTTCACATTCAAGCGTCACTGCCAAAAATGACATATTACAATAGAAAACAAATTGAAGAAGACAGATGTGTAAGATCTCTAATATTGGGTGTTATGTTACAAAAGAAAAGAAAGGAAAAGAACAGACTGAGCTTTTTTGCACCTTCATGCTTTTCGCACTTTTAGTTATAGGCCCACTGTTCATCACAATGTGTGTGTGTGCTTAAATTCTAAAACATAAAGACAGTCCATCTACATTCAGTCGGTTCTTTGTGCAGTTCTCTGGTGCACAGTTTTCACTGGATTTGTTGGATTCAAAGTTAATTCAAATATATAAAATGTACCTAAAATAAACAGAAACCTTACTTATCCAGTGTTATAAATTGCCTAGGTAAAGAGTAAACTGATCGTGTATGATAATATAGTATAGTATGGTTTTAAA